CACAGTGAGGACGTGTGAGACAGAGACACAGTGAGGACGAGTGAGACGGAGAGACAGTGAGGACGAGTGAGACAGAGACACAGTGAGGACGAGTGAGACGGAGAGACAGTGAGGACGAGTGAGACAGACACAGTGAGGACGAGTGAGACAGAGACACAGTGAGGACGTGTGAGACAGAGACACAGTGAGGACGAGTGAGACAGGGACACAGTGAGGACGTGTGAGACAGACACAGTGAGGACGAGTGAGACTGAAGGAGGTTCAACCAGTTGTTCATGGACCAGAACCAGATGAGAAGAACAGCAGAACTTGCACTGACCAGTGATCTGACCAGTGATCTGACCAGTGACCAGTGATCTGACCAGTGACGTGACCAGTGATCTGACCAGTGACCTGACCAGTGATCTGACCAATGATCTGACCAGTGACCTGGCCAGTGATCTGACCAGTGATTTGACCAGTGATCTGACCAGTGACCTGACCAGTGATCTGACCAATGATCTGACCATTGACCTGACCAGTGATCTGACCAGTGATCTGACCAGTGACGTGACCAGTGATCTGACCAGTGATTTGACCAGTGATTTGACCAGTGATCTGACCAGTGACCAGTGATCTGACCAGTGATCTGACCAGTGATCTGACCAGTGACCTGACCAGTGACGTGACCAGTGATCTGACCAGTGACCTGACCAGTGACCAGTGATCTGACCAGTGACCTGACCAGTGATCTGACCAGTGACCTGACCAGTGATCTGACCAGTGATTTGACCAGTGATCTGACCAGTGACCTGACCAGTGACCTGACCAGTGATCTGACCAGTGATCTGACCAGTGACCTGACCAGTGACCTGACCAGTGACGTGACCAGTGATCTGACCAGTGATTTGACCAGTGACGTGACCAGTGACCAGTGATCTGACCAGTGGCCTGACCAGTGACCTGACCAGTGATCTGACCAGTGACATGACCAATGATCTGACCAGTGACCAGTGACCTGACCAGTGACCAGTGACCTGACCAGTGATCTGACCAGTGATCTGACCAGTGATGTGACCAGTGATCTGACCAGTGACCTGACCAGTGATCTGACCAGTGACCTGATCTGACCAGTGACCTGACCAGTGACCTGATCTGACCAGTGACCTGACCAGTGACCTGACCAGTGATCTGACCAGTGACCTGACCAGTGACCTGACCAGTGACCTGACCAGTGATCTGACCAGTGACCTGACCAGTGATCTGACCAGTGATCTGACCAGTGACCTGACCAGTGATCTGACCAGTGATCTGACCAGTGACCTGACCAGTGATCTGACCAGTGACCTGATCTGACCAGTGATCTGACCAGTGACCTGACCAGTGATCTGACCAGTGACCTGACCAGTGACCTGACCAGTGATCTGACCAGTGATCACACATGTTGTTCTAAATTAAACTTTGGTACGAACAGTGTTAAATAATTCACGTCATATTTTTATTGAACATTAATCTTCATTCTAACAGTGACGTTGTAATTTCAGAGACTGAGGAAGAAACAGAAATGAGGCGAGTGAGATGAGGGACAGATGAAAATGTGTCCTCAGAGGACGGGGACATGTCAGGATCTGATGATCCAGGATCAACAGGACCAGGAGGATGGATCAACAGGACCAGGAGGATGGATCAACAGGCAGTCAGGGAACAGAGATGAACAACCTGAGGAACAATTAGAACAATAAAATACATGAGCAGGACAGAAGAAACTCACAGACAAGAAAATTAACTCAGTCCTGCGAAGAAAAATGTTAATGGAAAATAAATTGACATATTTTTACAAAAGACCAGATGAAGACAACTGGCATGAAGAAGAACTTCCAGCTCCATCTTTGTTAAATCAGGTCTCTCTTGTAAATGAGTCCTCGAGGCTCAATGGGATCTACCTGTAGAAATAAAGGTTGAATGAATCTCTCAGAACAAAAAGGACAAATATTTTCTAGTTGAGTTCAGTAACTGGAATTACCATAAATTTAAAAAAGACCACCTTTCAAAATTTAAGCAGTAATAGATATTTTAAAACGTTGAATTAGAAATCGACCCGTTTAAACCGTCATGTTGCAGAGCAGCTGCAGTTAAAACACAACTAGTAATTTAACATGTTTCATTAACTAAAACTGGAGACATGAAGTATTAATGTTGATAAATTGAGGTACAGAACAGTCAGATAACGCTTCACAATGGCAAAAAAGTGTCGCATTTTCATCAACTTACTGGAGAAAACACGGAGAATGAACTACATTCAATGTTGAACCGCTGCTGTTTGGAACTTTTTGCCGCTGCATGACCCACGTGACTTCCGCATTCCGTTCTTTCTATGGGAGTCTATGGGAGTCTACGGGAGTGTACGGGAGTCTATGGGAGTCTATGGGAGTGTCGCAACTCTCTCTTTATAGGGCTCTGAGGTGAGCAGGTGAGCTACGGGCTTGTTATCGTCTCAGTCTGATGACGTCATCTTTGTTTTCAGCTCTCAAACAGAACCCCAGCTTCCAGCACACAGGCACCCAGTCACAGCACAGATCCACCCTGCAGCCAATCAGAGGCCTCCGCCTGCAGCCCCGTCCAATCAGAGGCCTCTGCCTGTGGCCCCGTCCAATCAAAGGCCTCCGCCTGCGGCCCCGTCCAATCAAAGGCCTCCGCCTGCGGCCCCGTCCAATCAGAGGCCTCCGCCTGCGGCCCCGTCCAATCAGAGGCCTGCGGCCCCGTCCAATCAGAGAGCGGGCTGTTGTGGGCTCTGCTGCAGCTCACCAGGAGTCATGTAAGTTAAAAACATGTCGTGATGACATCATCAACAGCTGCCGCCATGAGGTGAATACTGACTTGACGTGTGGTGTGGTAGTAGCTGAACGTCGTCCCCAACACATACTCAGCACTGAGTGCAGTCAGTTTTGCGCCTTTGTGATGTCATCATGATGTCATTGTGTTTACCAGAGGGCGTCGGTGAGCCGTAAGGCCTGTGAGAGCCTCCTGGTTCTGTCCAGTCTCCTGGACGGGTCTTCAGAGGAGCTGCTGGCTGCCAGGACCCGCCTGGGGGAGCTGCTGGCAGGGAGGCTGCAGGAGCTGCACCTCCTGCTGCCCCTGGAGGAGCTGGATGCCACAGAGCTGCGGAGCTGGCCCCCCACCGCCTGGAGGTACACAGGAGCAGCTGGTTACCACGGTAACAGCCCAGAGCGGCTGGGCGATGAGTGACTCCTGTGTTTACTGATCTCAGGTCAGAGTCAGAGCCGGGTCACATGACCAACTTCTTCACCTGGTTCAACTTCCTGGATCACCTGACGAGAGAGTCGCCGCAGGTACTGCAGTAGTACTAGAGAGGTACTGCAGTAGTATTAGAGAGGTACTGCAGTAGTATTAGAGAGGTACTGCAGTAGTACTAGAGAGGTACTGCAGTAGTACTAGAGAGGTACTGCAGTAGTACTAGAGAGGTACTGCAGTAGTACTAGAGAGGTACTGCAGTTGTGCAGTAGTATTAGAGTAAATCTGCAGTACCTCTGCAGCTGATCAATTATGAACTGATCCTGTGTATGCGTGCACGTGCAGGTGCTGGGCGTGCACGTGTCTCGATGTGTGTGTCAGCTGTGGCTCGTGGACGCTCTTCATCCTCAGCTGCTGCACACGTAAGCCCCGCCTCCTTAGTTTCCTGTTGTTTGCCCTCACCTGAGGGGGCGGGGCCTGACTGATGTCCAGGTGTGTGTCTGTGTTCAGGTGTGAGCAGGTGGTTCTGGTGTCCACCTCTCTTCTCTGTGCTGCTGTCAGACTCGTCCAGTCTTCGTCTCTACTGGACCAGATCGTCCACTTCCTGTTGAGGACGCCGTCTCTGATGGAGCTGCTGCTGCAGCGCTGCGACCACATCTCTGACCAGGTGAGTCCTCTGCAGCAGGACACGCCCCCACACACCTGCCCACCTGTCCGCTCAGCTTGTCTCTTTGTGTCCTCAGATCAGCATGACTTCTCTGTCTCTGGTGGACGAGTTACTACAGAAGCCTCACAGGGACATTTTGGACATCTTGGTGTTGAGTTTCCTGCAGAGTCGCAGTTACCTGTCCTCACCTGTCGGAGGACAGGAGGACAGACAGCCTGAGAGCAGCGAGGACAGTGAGGACAGCCAGTAGGTCCAGAAAGACTGTGTCCCTGTGAGACAGGTAACGGTGTGTTGTGGGACTGACGGGTGTCTCATGTCCATCAGAGACCTGGAGGAGGACCCGTTCTTCTCAGACAGCCTCTCAGAAGGACCTCGTCGTCGTCCTCAGTCCTCGACTGCAGACGTGGTCAACAGGTAACACCTGTCCAGAGCACCCGGTCCGTTCCATCAGAACCCTTCAGTTCTAAAAGACAGAACCAGTACCTAACCCAGTACCTAACCAGTTTTAAAACCCAGAACAGGCCCGGTTTGTGTCCCGGTTCAGACGGGCTGGAGGTGAATCCAACAAACGTCTCATCCTCAGAACCTGAGACCCGCAGCACCACCGGGTCCAAAATGGCTGCTGAAACAGAACCACATTCAGAGAGAAGCTCCTCCTCTTTATCACCTCCTGCTGTGTGAGGAGGAGCAGAGGTCCAGTTTGGTTCTGAGAAAGGTTCTGTGAAGATGGACCCGATCAGCTGGAGGCAGGGCCTGAGGGTTCTGTGCCCTGAGTCTGGTCTGACAGGTTCACCTGCTGTGGCTGACCCGGTTCTGCTTGTGTGTGTGTAGCTTCCTGTGTTTGGTTCCGGTCCAGGTCCGATCGGCTCACCTGCTGCAGGAAGGAGGTTACGAGTCCTACGTGCACGACGCGCGCTCACTGGTCAGAACCTTTTCAGCTTTTCAAATTAAGATTACTTTGAAATGAAACCACTTCAGTGAAGCTTTTAATTTGTTAAATTGTTTCACTCTTACCTGTTCCTGGTGTGCTGCGTTTGTCCTGTGGCTCCGCCCCCTTCAGGTGAGCCAGTGTCGGGGGCTCTCTCTGTCCTGGAGCTGGCTGCAGACTCTTCCTCCTCCTACCTGTCCCCCAGGTGAGGACGTAGTCTTCTTCGAAGGTCCACTTCTCAAAGTTCTCTTCGACAGACTTGGACGCATCCTGGAGCAGGTACGCCTGCCTGTAACTGGACCAGGCTCACCTGGTCGCCACGGTAACCGTGCTGTGTGTTTTCAGCCGTACGAGCTGAACCTGCAGCTGACGGCCGTTCTGTCCAGACTGTCGGCGTTCGACCACCCCCTGCTGGACGAGTACCTGCTGAACCCCTACATCCACCTGTCTCACTGCTGCAGGTCGCTGTTCTCCGTCCTCGTCAGGGTAAGACAGATGTGTAGAGAGACGGGCTCAGGGACAGACAGACGGTTTGTTCTTCAGATCCCCGACACCCGAGTGTCTTCTGCAGGTTTTCAGAAGTGATGACTTCACGTCTCACCGATGAGCTTCCATCATGTTTTTTTCTCTCGTGTCGGTCGTGAAGAACTCCAGAACCAGAACCTTCAGAACCTCAAGGTTCTGCGAGAACATTAGTGATTTTATTCCAAACGTGACCCGAGAAAAAAAACATCTGTTTGAAAATGTCCACAGTGGTGAAAACAAGCCTGTCTGTCTCACCTGTCTGTCTCACCTGTCTGTCTCCTGTCTGTTTTTCAGGTGATGGCAGAGTTAATGCAGAGGGTCCAGGAGGTTTCTGAACTGTCAGACAAACTGCTGGACACCAGGAGAACCTTGCTGGGACTGACCCCCCACACAGGGTACCTGTCTGTTTGTCTGTCTGTCTGTCTGCCTGTCTGTCTGCCTACCTGTCTGTCTGTATGTCTGCCTGTCTTCCTGTCTGTCTGCATGCCTGTCTGTCTGTCTGCCTGTTTGTCTACCTACCTGTCTGTCTGCCTGTCTGTCTTCCTGTCTGTCTGCCTGCCTGCCTGTCTGTCTGTCTGCCTACCTGTCTGCCTGTCTGTCTGTTTGTCTGTCTGCCTGTCTGCCTGCCTGCCTGCCTGTCTGTCTGTCTGCCTGTCTGCCTACCTGTCTGCCTGTCTGTCTGCCTGCCTGCCTGCTTGTCTGTCTGCCTACCTGCCTGCCTGCCTGTCTGTCTGCCTGTCTGCCTACTTTTCTGTCTGCATGCCTGTCTGTCTGCCTACCGGTCTGTCTGCCTGTTTGTCTGTATGTCTGCCTGTCTTCCTGTCTGCCTGCCTGCCTGTTTGTCTGCCTGTCTGTCTGCCTGCCTGCCTGCCTGCCTGTCTGTCTGTCTGTCTGCAGAGAGACATGCTGAAGAATCTCAGGTTTATCTGTTAATGAAAGTTTTTAACAAACGATTGATTGAAGTAGGGCTGCAACAACGAATCGATACAATCGATAAAAATCGATGATTAAAAAAGTGTTGGCAATGAATTTCGTTATCGATTCGTTGTGTCGCGTGATTAAGCGTGTCTCACGACGCTGCGGAGCCGTTTTGTTCACGGGCAGTTCATTGTCAATGCTGACCGACTGAATAAAGTTTAAAAAATAAAACAAACCTCTGCAGCGCGAGTTGATCAGAGCGAGGGGCGGAGCAAAGCAGAGGCTGATTTTAAAGGGAAATAAGTAAATTTTACAAATGACCGACGCAGGTCATTCAGCTGTCTTCACTGAAACATCCTGAACATGATCGTCACTGACATGAGGCCTCTGTCCATGGTTGAAGACGAAGGCTTCACTACAATAATCCACACTTTTAATCCAGGTTACAATAATCCACACTTTT